TACAGACCACCTTTCATTCCCTGAGCCAGCTCGCTAACCAGCAGTGTGTGCGGCTAGAAGCGGAGCAGGCCCGGCCTAGGCAGGGGCTCCTGAATAAGCAATTGCCCTGGAATCCATGCACGGACAGTCAGTCAGGAAGCTGGAGGCTCTGGCAGCAAATACATTCCCTTTCTTACTCATGCAATCTCTACCTTTAAGGTTTCAAATAATCCCTTTCCTTTATTTCTTAAATACACTTTTGTTTATGTCAGAGAGGAAGGAAGAGGGAGCAGAGAGACAGAAACATCATTGATGAGAGAGAAACATTGATCAGCTGCCTCCTGCACACCCCACGCTGGGGATGGAGCCCACAACCTGAGCATGTGTCCTGACAGGGAATTGAGCCTTGACCTCCTGGTTCATAAGTTGGCGCTCAACCACTGAGCCACACCGGCCGGGCCAAACAATCCCTTTCCTACACTGACCCATCCCCACTAGATGTGACTAGCTAGTGGCTCTGTTCCAAGGACAATCTCCCAGGGACTCCTCGGGGTGCCTCCACCGCACTGTGCTGCTCCCCAGTCCTTCCTGACACAGGATTTCTCCCACTGACTCAGCTGCGGCTCTGCCTGGAGCTGGGGGGTGAGGGGGGCGGTGATGGGTATCTCCGGAGCCCAGGCTCTCCTATAGGAAGGAATGGTTTCTTATCTGCGCGTCTGAGAGTCTAATCCCCATCAGGCTGTGCTCTGCTTACTGTGCTGCTGGGTGACAGTTTAAAATCGTGTTTTTATGCCAGAGTGACTACGTTTCGTAAATCATTGGTTTCTTCCACGTTGGTCCTTGGAAAGCAGACAGCTCATTGATCTCGGCTTTTGACGCCAATTTTTGATAGCATCTCAACCAGGGGTGGGGAATGTCTGTCTCGAGGGCTGTATAAGGCCCTTGAAATAATTTGGTCGGGCCCTGCCGAGGCCTTAGGGGTGAGTTAATTAAATGTGCAGGCTAATGTTTAAGCCGATAATTGTATATGGCCCTCGAATGATGTTATAAATATCTAGATGGCCTTGGCAGAAAAGGCTCCCCTCCCCTAAGCTAAGGTAACACCAGTGCTGTGACCTAATGCCGTACTGGCCCCTGGGGGGCTCGGCCTTCCCTGGAGCAGTCCGGGCAACTAGGCCATTGCTGAAGAGGTCTCAACTGCCACAGGCCTCAGGGGCACAAGCAGGTGGCAGCTGCGGGCTGTTAGGCTGACTCCCTGGCTTGTCACGTGGAAACCAAGGGCCTAATGGAATTGTGGTGGAGGACGACACCACCAAAATCCATGGGACTGCCAGTTTCCACACTATTCCTGCCGGAGCGAAATGAGCTCCCTTATTCAGTTAAGAACTGCATTTGGGGGACACAGACAGCTTTCTTTTTTTTTTTTTTTTCTTTTTTTAACACCATGGCCAAAAAATGTCTTATTTTAAAACTGCAATTTAAAAAAAGCTCACAGACACAGATAACAGCATAGTGACGAGCAGAGGGGGGAGAGGGGGCAGGTGGAAGAGGCAAAGAGGGGATAAATGGAAGGAGACCTGACTTGGAGTGGTGACCACACAATACAATACAAGATGGTGTGTTACAGAATCATACTCCGGAAGCCTTTATAAAAATAACACTTTACAAATGCATTTTACTTCCTCAAAGCATTTTTACACTTATTACTTCGACTCACTACCATGCCAAGAGCGGGCAATGGGAGACTGGGATCCACTTTTTATTGTAGGCATACTGCTCCTGAGTAGCAGATCCAGGATTCGAACATGGGCCTTACAGACCACAGAACATCTTACTTCATTGATGTCCGCGATCCCTGCCAGTTGGTGATAACATGTGATGTGTATCAACTGATGGTGACCCTACAGATATGATGCACCTTTAATGAATGCACCTTTAATGACTAAATCAACCCTTACAACCATCTTCAGGGATCGGTTTGGCTCTGCCTGAAGATTTAACTGGTCTGTGGAGTGATTTGGCACTGGGATAGCAGGCTTCCGCATCCCTCTCCCTTGGTGATTCCAACGCCCATGCAAGATTGGGAAATTCGGCTACGCACAGCTATAGATTTGACGTGTAGACTATTGTTAGACTTTTTAAAGGGGAGCAGAGTCAGAGACAAAATCTGCCAGTAAGATTCCTGGACCTGAGGTACCCACCTTGTTGCAGCCCCCTTCCTGCCCTGCTCCAAAGCCAGGGCTTCCATGCCAGGATAACGGGCCACGTGTGTGCCAGGGGTCCAGCTGCAGCTTATCTCCTCTCTGATGCCCAGAGCTGTGCATACGTGTCTCTCAAATACCAGCAACAAAAGGCAAAAACGTAGACTACAAACCCAATGGCCCGAATCAATGGATTATTCTGCAGAGAACGCTCTACTGAGAATTGAAAGAAAGGAGTTTCAAAGTGTAAATACCACAATCACTCTCTAATCCTACATCTCTAATATAAAATTTTAAAAATCCCACCTGGTGCTTCCCAAGTCCTAGGACAGAAATACAGCCGCTTCCCCAAACCCCACCTCACGCTGCAGCACTGACTACACGCGCTTGGAATCTACACACCACTGTCCCATTCCGGGGGCGGGAGGGCTGTCCAAGAGATTCCTGCATCTCCTGGGGTCTCGTCTTGTTTGTTGGGAAAACTAAACTTTGGCCCAAGGGCTGCTGCTTCTCTGGGAATGAGCTAAAGAAGGCAGCCCAGTTTCAGTGCACGCTGAAAGCTGCCGGGTGCTTCCTGACAAAGGGGCCAGAGCCAAGGAAGTTCAAAAGGAATGATGTCTAATCCTGAGCTTCTTGCCAATATTTCCGAATTCAGATCTGGGCAACCTTAGGGAACAAGAAAAACATCCCATTGACCCAGTAACACTGGTTCCTGAATTTGTTCCTAGAATCGTCATCTCTGACCACGCCGGTGGCGCAGGGACCCAGTAAGAAACTTCCTGAAAGCTGGCGCCTGCATCTGCTGAAGAAAGCCAGCAGCACATGCCAATCAGGAAGGGAGTGTCAGAGCCGCCGCAGGGTTTGCTGTGGCCTTACCCTGAGCAGGCAGGATGCCACTGCCGCCGACCCCAGCACACAGCCGCAGTGACCCACACGGACCTGAGAGCCTGCTCAGCTCCCTGCTCAGCCTCACCTCTTCCTGACCTATGCCTTGGTTTCCTTGGCTAAAGCGCATTCTTGGGGCTTCCTGTCAAAATCTGCAAGTTCTACAGGAGTTAAGTTCTAAGAGCTCAACCCTTGCGCCATTCCTCTGCAGGGATTTGGGAATATTTCCTGACACCTTATCTGCGCAAAGATCAACAACAGTAAGGTTTGTATGGTTATCATTTACAAAAAACGCAGGCTCCTATACTCCAGGGACTCTGAGGCAGGTGGTGCTGCCGCAGGCAGTGCTGAGACCCCTTCTCCTGGGGGAGAGGTGGTCCTGGCACCGAAGAGCTAAGGCCAGATGGCAACAGGCAACATTGCAGGACAGGAAGAGCTGAACTGACCCAGGGCGAAGGAGCTAGCGATTTCAAAGACCGTTGCTTTCACGCTTCTTATTTTTTTGGCTTGATTGAACTTACTGTCATGCCGCCTTGCCTCTTCCTCCCTCCTCCCTCTCAGGGAGCATTTGCACCTGAATTGGAAAATCTCCCAGGATCAAGTGAGGTAGTTGGGAGGCTACAGTTATGGTGACAAAGGACATTCTGGACTCTCCTCCACATCCCTTCCTGACTGTGTCTGGCCGTGGGCACAGCTGCTCACACACTTGGCGGCTCTAGGCTGCAGCTTCCAGACCAGTGCTGGCCTCAGAGGGGCGTCACCGGGCCCATGCCAATGAATTAACCCAATGGCCCGAGATGGTGAGATGGGCTGGCACTCCTCTGCTGTGGCCGCAGGTAAGATCTCTGTGCTATGGAGACAGCTGGAGCCTGACTGAGGCTTAAGGAAGGTTGTCTTTTTCCTTTTCCTGGTTCCTTTCTTTTTCTTTTCAACCTGCATCGGTTCAAGATGCCACAAACTAGAACTATGCTGCAAGAGGATATTCGGAGAAAAGGTGACAGGGAGGCAGAGACCACAAGAACCCCCTGGGCTCTGGGGTGAGCTGGCCTGTGCCTGGAGCTCCAGCCCGAAGGTCAAGTAGAGCGGATGCAGATCTTATGTTGGGCCCCAAGCACAAGCCCATGAGGCCCCAAGATGACGATGAGATCAGACCCTCGGACTTTTAGAGTCATGCCCGAGGACCAGGTTCGTGGGCATGGGTTATGAGGCTGACAACACAGTAGCAAATTAGAATAATTAAAGGCTGTAATATACCTGCACCCAACATCATTTATGAGCCATGTTATCGTTGTTTTAAGACCTTTATCTCAGGATTAAGATTTTGTTTATCTTGAAAAGTGCACACGATGCTTCTGTTCAACACTCTTCTCTCCATCCGACAGAAAGAAATATGAAATTCACACTCTGACAGAAAACCAAAGGACTCCTCCATTCGGTGAACCGAATGCTTTCTCTAAACCAAAAGATGTTCCATGTAGACTTACGCAACTCTCTGAAAGAGACCTTGCAATTGAACAGTCAAGGGCAAATTGTCTCAACACATCCACAATCCACAAAGAAACCTAGCGCCCTGGAACTGCCTCCCTGCCTCATCATCGCCATGGCGGCCAGATGCACAAGTGAAACGCAATAGCAAGGTGTTCCAGAGTCATGTCATGAAAGGGACATAAGTTCATCTCAACATTATTTTTCACAAAAGCACCTCTGCTGCTGGCTTCAGCTTAGGAAGCCCAGAGGAACACAGCTGCTCCAAGCTTGTCCCCAGAGAGGACAGCGCCACCAAGAACCTCAGATCTTCCTTCCTCCTTTCTCAAAGCGACCCGGAATCCCCAGGGATTCATTCGTCCCCATTCTCCCAATCGGCCAACTGCCTTCCACACACTGCCCAGGGGCCTTGGGGGGACGAGGTGCCGCCTCTGCTTCCGGTCCCCTTACCTTGTTGAAGTCTTCAGAAGTCGCCCTCATCTCCTTCCACGTCTTGTTGAGGAGCTGGATGCAGATGCAGAAGAACTCCTCGAAGGATCTGTCGTGGGTGAAGAACATCGGGTGGAAGTCGTTGCAGGTCTCACTGGCTGGAGGAGACAGAAGGGGAAGGAGGGAAATGAAGAGACAGCCACCTGGGGGTGCTCCAAGGAGAGATGACATGAGGCACAGCTGGCGCAAGCCATAGCGGGCAAAAGGAATTCTGAAAAGCAACCTAAGAATAGATCCTGTGCAACTTCAAAGTTTAAGGTCAGATCGTCAGACCTACCCTTAGGCACAATTTTTGAACGAAGTCACGTCCTAAGCCACAGCATGACCTGAGCCTTAGGGCTGTTCCCAATCGCTGGTGTTGAGTATGAGCTCTGTATCTGCCTTCAATAACCTTTCTGAGACTGTGCAGACTCCCTCTCCATCACAGCTCCTCCTTCTCCCGTAATTTCTCCTTTCTCAACAGAGTCACAGGCAGAGGGATGAGCTTCCCTGCATACACAATTAATGGCAACTTTGGAAGCAGCTTCCTTGATTATTTCTCCAGGGGGCTTTTCCCCCCTTAGGCAGTGGGTAGGGGACATTTGAGATCATTTCCATCTGGTGCCATTAACCACTTGCTTTATGTTCCCAGACACAGGTGGCTGGAGGTTAAAACAATCCACCTGGCTTTCAAGGTCACAACTGGTCGGATCCTGGACCAAAACATGAGGCCAATCTGCCTGTGAGCCCCCCACTGTCGAGCCTCCTGGGGTCAGCCCCCATGCTCTGAGCTCCAGGTGCAGCCACCTCTTCTTCTTCCCTGACCCTCGCCCCAGCCCCAACCGTCTTCTCCGCTGTCTGTCCAGGTTACACTCTCACAGCCCTTTCCCTTGCATCACATTTGGTTCTCCCAGGCCTCTTGCTGCTCATGTCTATGGACAACGATGCTAGAGCCCAATGAACTTGTCTGTGTGACCCCCAACACAGAACCCTCCTTTTATTAATATAAGCTGTTAAATATAGCAAAAGAATTCCTATTCTAACCGGAACCTCTCAAAGACCAATCAGTCTCCAAGGCTCTAAATGGTGGAATTTCAAGACCCAGAACCCCAGGAGAGGAGGGCTACAGCAGAGGCCTTCTGCACTTGAGGAGAGCCCTGCTGCAGCCACGTGGTTGGGCCTCAAGTTCACCTAGAATCCTCTCATGCAGGTGAAGCATCCCCGACCAGGCCTCAGGGGATATGCTCTGCTCTGGCAGCACCACAAGCTCTCACACACTGACCTCTTCTGTCGCCATCCTTTACGAATACAGTGAATTCCCAACCTCTGAACAATTTAAAGCAACAGTGTCCAGTGTTTGTACAGCTCACCCCTCTGGAGGGTGGAACCCCCTGTGAAGACAGGTGAAAGCCATTTTCTTCTAGACTATATTAAGGGCATGGACTAGCAGCAGCGTGTGCCAGATGGAAAGGGTTAGGGTTTGGGGCTGAAGATTTCGGTTCAAGCCCAGGGCCTGCCAAGCAAGAGCACGTCATTTCATCTTTCTGAGCCTTCTTTTTATATATATATATATATATTTTCATTGATTTTTTTAAGAGAGAAAAAGGGAGATGGAGAGGAACATCGATGTGAGAAACAGCAAGTTGTTGCCTCCTCCCCCACACACCCTGACCAAGGATAGAACCCACAACCTGGGTATGTGTCCTGTCTGGGAATTGAACCGGCAACCTTTTGGTGCCCAGAACAACATTCAACCAATTGAGCCACACCAACAGGGCTTGGTTTTCCTAACTAAACAAGTGGATGTGAATCTCCTCTGGCTTTTCCTCGGAGAGGATCACATGACGAGATTCTTGGAAAAGTGCTGGAAATGGATAAAAGTTGACGCAAATATGGAAAGAGGTGGTGGATGGTAATGCATGTTCTGCCTGTGTATCCTTTCCAGGAACACAAATTGTTCTTTGATTTCCCCCAATTCCTAGTTTTAGCCTGTTCACATCTCAGAAATTACAGGCAAGCACATATAAGTCATCCCATCCCCAGCCTGAGTGACCAGCGGAGGGACGGCAAGAGTGACGGCCAGACCTGAGACACAAAGCTGTCTAAGGAACCCGGCACTACACTTGGGCGGATTGTGAGTTTGCTGTCCTGGGCAGTGAGCTGCCAGGCTCACTTTCACAAGCACTGAAGCCACTGAAATTTACAAGTCCACAGACGCACTGTAAAGCACCAGCGCCATCCAAAACTCATCTTAATCACATTATCACACTCGCTTTTCCCAGCCCGGTGTGATTATGTGTGTGCTTTATGCCCTCGTTAATGTTTTTATGGGATTGCTAGAGCTGAAATAGCCAGGCAAACTTGAGACCACCATGCCCTGCTCTGCTTGGGTGAAGAGAGAGGGAGGCAACATCGCTAATCAGAGGGACTATTTGTTGGGTCAGGCCACGGACCAAGGGCTCCGCAAGTGTTATTCTCCGCACAACCCTGGAGGTGAGCATTGTGCTCATCTCCATTGCCAATCCTGAAGAAACTCAACCTTCTGGCAGAAGCTTCATTCAGCTGGCCCCAATAAGCACCTGTAACCCAGTCTAATTGGCCTGGCAGCAGGCTTCCTGCCTGGGTTGACATGAAGAGCTCAGGGCAGCTCCTTGTTCTTGATTAAGCAGGAACAGTGACTGCAAGAAGCAGGCTTACCACAGTTGGAAGCCAACAGGATTACGATGCTCACTCATGTCCAGGGGCCCTTGGCCCAGGCCTCCCCACTGGTAAACATGAACATGCCTTAGCCTTGGTCCCGAGAGGAAGGTTCTTAATCCAGAGGTTTGAACAAACAAAGAAAAACAGGGAGGCGGAGGCTTACAGGTGCTTTAAAAAAATAAATAAAAACACCTATTGAGGAAAAAAATGTTAAAGTAGTATGCAATGGTTTTATAAATAAAATTCAAAGAGAAATTTTCAATGAGACAAAAATAGTAACACTTTTTTAAAAACAAAATGGTTGTTAAGCACATTATTTTTAACACAATGAAATTCTACTTTATAAAAATCAACTGAATGGTCTCTTTTAAGTCTGGAATATTTAGGTGTCCTCGGAGCTGATGGTAAAAAGGGTTCTTATGATTTTACCGACACCTATATAAAAACGTAAGTGACCCTTTCCACCAGTCGACTAAACAGCCTAATGACTGGTCGCTATGGTGACGTACTGGCCACCAGGGGGCAGATGCTCAATGCAGAAGCTGCTCCCTAGTGGTCAGTGCATTCCCACAGCCAACCTCCCCCAGCCAGCCAACTCCTTCAGAAGGTCCCTTCCCCCAGCAGGCCAGCCAGCCCTGATCAGTGGACAACCTTTTGTGCCCCCCCCCACCTCGGCCAGCCCCAATGAGCCCCGTCTGCTGGCCAGGTGAAGGGACCCCACTTGTGCAGGAATTCGTGCACTGGTCCTCTAGTTTACAAATAGGCCAGCGTTGCAGGCAGTTACCATCCCTGTACCTATGTTTTAACAATAAAAACAAGAAGACTGCTCTCTCAGGTGGCACATTGCCTTTCAAAGTAGATTTCTTCCTATTTCCATCGGATAATGTGAGCTGAGCTAGACATCCTTACTAGCGTCTCAGAGAACAAGGTCTATGCACTGAATACAGAGAACTGGTTCTGCTGCTGCCTGTGACCTGGTGAAGGTCATCTCAGCTCCTGGTCCCAGGGTTCTTACCAGTAAGTAAGATGGACTAGTAAGGTTCCTGCTGCTTTTAAAATTCTAATACTACACACACACAGTCACTCACACACTCTCACACACACATGCACTCACATACATACACCCACATAATCACTCACACACACACAGTCACTCACACACATACACAGTCACAACACACATACACACACACACACATACAGTCACAACACACACACACACTCACACACACACACACTCACAACTAACAGAGTCACTCACATTGTCACTCACACTCTCACACTCACACACACATACAGTCACACACACATACACACACACACTCACACACACATACAGTCACAACACACACACACATACACACAGTCACTCACATAGTCACACTCTCACACTCACAACATACATACAGTCACACACACATATACACAGTCACTCACAACACACACACATACACACACACTAACACACAGAGTAACACGCACACAATCACACACACAAGCACACACATTCACTCACCAGATAATGAACTTTCAGCTCCCTGCTGCCCATCAATAATCACAGGGCTGGGAAGCTGCACCGCCCTCACCTTTATTTCCTAAATTAGCATTTCCCTGAATGACAAGATGGCTCCACATTTCATCTCGGGTGTTAAGGCATCAAAGCGGCATTGGGCAAGCTTAGATGTTTGATGGCCTAGTATTTACTCTTTCTTTCATCAGAAAATTGTTAGTTGCTTTTATACCCTCCCAACCTATTAATATCACCTAATCAGACCATTACCATTGAGTAAAGATAGCATGACAAGATGACAGGCGAATGTATATAATTTCTGATTTTTCATGGGAATTTTCTAAGACAAAGGCAGTGTTTCCGGTGCTGAAAAGCCCTTTTCCGTGTTTTCGATGACCCCTGCTATGCTTAGAAGCACTGGGAGCCCATTCACCAGTGCCTGGAGGTGCTCAGGTGTGGGGGGCATGAGCAAATTCTGATGTTTTTACCCAATATGCCTGACATAAAGAGCATTTTGCTTTAACATTCTGAGCTACAGTTAGAAGGTGATACATCACCCGCCCACGAAAGCAGTCCATCCATGAGAACTGCTGGAGTGACTAAAAACTGGTTGGTTAGCCGCAGCATGGAAACTCCAGTTAGCTGTGGCTCTGGGGTCCGTGTGGAGAGCGCGTTGATGAGTTATCAAATGCAAATGCGTATGCATACCTTTACACCTTTGCAGAAAATCTTCCCTGTGACCTTGGTGCTCTCTATTTTTGGACACAGCATTCTTTAATGGCTTGGTTTTGAAGGTTGGGTGCTGTGTGGGAAGATGTGAAAAGTTCAGACCTTCGGTAGGTGGGAGAGGTGGAAAGAGGAGAATGAACTTGAGGTGCCTCACAGCTGCGAGTCCTCGGATACAGACGC